GGTGACCGTCTGCGACCGTGAGGGTCACAGTCACGTGACAGAACCATCTCCCCTTGGATGATTCAAGATTCTTCGATCGACCTTGAAGATATTCACGATCTGAAGTTCAAAATTGCCCGCCTACGCTTATGCCGTACGAACACACCTTTCATTTCGACTCACACTGCACCGGTGCCTGCGCTGATCCGTTTTATCCGTGCGGTGCGCTAGAGCTCGTTTGCTTTCACGAATTCATCAATTCAGTGATTCACTTGACGATTCTGATTCTCGCCTTGGCCGCGAGGCAAACCAACACCTGGCCAACAAGTCCGAATTTGAATCAACGCTCATCGTGATGTGAGAGAAGCGCAAATCCTCAGCTCCACGACTCACTACTGACATCAACGGGTGTGTGAGCTGCGATGCTGCACGTGTAATGTGAATCACGAATGTATGATGCCGCGCTTCCGCACACTTTCGACCTGCCTGGGATGAAGGTGCTGGTGCTGGTGCTGCCTTAGTGATGTGCCCCTCGGTTTTGGAATGCGCGCGTGTGATAGATACGGCGCACTAGCCATATGGACAACATGACCCCGCTCGCCCTCTCCTTCGTCATTACGTCTACCCTCCTCCATCTGACTGTGCAGGATTGCCGACGACGTCTCCACCACATTGTTTCGTCAGGATGAGCGACATCAATCGGCCTGCCAGACCCTACGTGTCGATCCAGCACCAACCATGGAAGGCCATCTACATGACCAAGACTCTCATATCTGTCCTCTTCTTTCAGTTGCCCTTCTACGCAATCACCCAGCTGCTCTTTCGTTCTGCCCGTCCCCATCCCGACTTCACCTTTGCCCAAGCAATGGTAGTGCGCATCGTGCGTTTCATGGGTCTCTTGAGGCGCGCAGACTGGTACTCCGATAGATGGACCGTGGAGAAGCTGTCGAAGTACACGAACGCAAAGTCAGAACCTCTCGGTGGGCTCTTGGCCAAGGCGGTGTGGGTGCCAAAGCTGGATGGCGCGCTACAAGGTGAAGCGGGTGAGCTGGAAAAGAGAGCGGGAACGCGCAGCGTGCGCACCCACGGCTGGTGGTTTGCCATCCCGTCCAGCCTGGACTCGCACGGCAATGCGGCGCAATGGCGGGAGCTGTTTGACGAGAAGGATGCAGAGAAGGCTGCAGTGGCCAGCATAAAGGCTGCCAAAGGCGAGCAGGTGCTGCTCTACTTTCACGGGTCAGTCAATTACGCTATGACAGACCTGGCCCCTTCGCCGCTCCCTCCGCTCAGACCAGACGCTGACTCTCTTTGCGCCTGTACGCCGATTCTGCGCAGAGGAGGCTACTTGGAGCGATCTGCTGGGCCCAAATCCCAAACTACAGCCGTACCTCGTCAGCTGATCAAAAAGATCGAGGAGCACCTTGCTCAAGGCTACGAAGGCGATGCAAAGCTTTTGCCGCGCAAAGCGTTCTCGCTCGAGTACCGGCTCAGCGACAAGACATCATTCTCGGGCATCCTTGCCGACGCCGTGTCCAGCTGGCGTTATCTCGTAGAGGACTGCGAGTATGAGCCGGAGAACATCTATGTTGGAGGCGACAGTGCTGGAGGTGAGAGATTTGAATAGGCGTGATGGGCCCGCCAAGTCTGCTCCGCTGCGCGCCATCTGATCCGCCGCTCCTTGGGCCCACGCCTCGCCACGCCTCGCCACGCCTCGCC